GAATGCGGTAAATCGTACGAGGTTTTTGAGCGAGTGTTCCAAAGGATGTCAGCTAAGCATTAATCACAATAAATATTTATTGGTACTCGTAGAATATATAATATATACACATGTGTACTATGTTTCCATCAGATTTTGATGCCAGTCTCACCAATAGATGCCTATTAAAGGAGGCCAAACAAGTGAGAGCTCCGGACATCACGAGAAAAACTCGGATAATAGAAAACGTCCAAGCTACTTAAAATAAGTGATGTGCTATGCGATAATTGCCAATGAAAGTGTCTCTTAGTCATCATTTCGCCTCTCAAATGTACACCGACTTCGACAACCGTAGGACTGCAGGCTGACCACATCCAAAAGTGGGTGCATTTGAGGGTGAACGTGTCCACCAAGTTGATTAGTTTGTCTGCACGCGTGAGGTGTGGTTTCGATTGAGGTAGCAGCACCTAGTACTTCGCAGGTGCAAGGCCTATGCCCACTACAGCACCAGAAGAATGGCAAGAATAGTAATACCATCTGTTTGCTTGACGTTCACGAGCAGGCGCTTGAAAACATTTTTTTTCATCGAGGTTCTAAAGAGAGTTAGAGGACCCTCAAGCGGCACATAATTACGAATTTGAACAGACCAGATTGCCTTACATCACTGTACTGGGGCAGATGCTTGCCTCATTTCCGCATATTCCACAGGAGTTGGCCCCACAGTGCACTGATATCGGACATATATGTGTAAGGCATACTGCTGATCGCCAGACACCGAGGTTGTTTTTTACGGTTGGCGGGGTTGGGCTTAACTTTACTTCAGTTGCTAGTTGAGTGAGTGGCCGATCCCCCCTTCAACTTCCCCTATCTAGGCATGGGCAACCTGGCAGTATCCCAGCCGTCGTGCTTCCTTCGGATATATGGCAGCTAGGCACCGGAGGGTGTTACAGCTGAACGATTTTTTTAGTGGCGGAGGATTAATTTTTGGGAGCCGTCTTGCCGAGCTCTGGTACATCCTTTCTCTTCTATCTGAATGTTTAGTATGAACACATCTGATTTTACCATGCTGATCCAATCTGGAGGCAACTGATTTGTGCACTCCGAGAGTTTGGCAGTGCCAGAAAGCCTGCATCTTGTTTGGTAAGGAATTGCGGATGTTGAGTAAAGCGATGAAATCATTCTACGGGGCAGTGAAAGAGTATATTATTGATTGGAATATACTGTTTTTCCTTGTACATCTGTAAATTCTGACGGGTAAAGTAGCTCAAAGCATCAGTGCCACGATCGATTAACATAATATGGTCGTGGAGCGCAAAACCTTTTTTATATTCGGATCTTCCGTCACCCGGCTTTTTATCCACCGTAGTTCTTTTCATTCCGCACAGCCCTCTTCGCGCAGCCTCGGATGGGGATAGCTCAGGGGTAGCTAGTCCACCACCTGGTAAGGAAGCATGAAATTACTTACCGTCAACTCAGTCACTTCCTAGATAGAGACCGGGGGATAAGTTAAGTCATTGGTTAGTGATCATGACAGAGATGGCTATTCCGCGCAGCCAATAACGGTCTTGCGTCAAAGTGATCGCCTTCACTGCACGACACTTCCTCCTTGACACACCGGACAAGCAGAACCATTCGACAATAATGAATGGATTAAGCCACCGACTCAAATCCATGGTTCTCTCTCCCTTACTCCCCCTGGGTGAACGAATATGTAGCCGCTAGAACCACTGAATTTCGCTGCATGGTTTATGAGCTGAAAAAACTGAGGCTGGACTGAAACAGCATTTCGACAAAGCAATGTCTATCGTGAGAGAGATTAAGCAGCAGAAGTGCTGCAAAGGCAAATAGTAATCCAGTGTCTCTCTAACAAGCTTTGACTTAAATGACTGAATCACAGGACGATGTGAGAGTGTGAGGTTCCGATCCTGCCTTTTCAACATGTCGTTGGCTCCAGGAATCCGACTCACACAACATCTGTGAGCAGGGTTTACTTGGAGGCCATGTTCACAGCCTCTGACTTGGTGGCAAACTCTGCTTAGCTGCTGAAAGCTGGACGATTCCGAGGCTGTATGGCGTATGCCATGCGTACTCAGCCCTTGGTGCCACCACGCACGTCTGGGGTTTCTGGAACAAGTTCAGGCTCTAAATACATATCTAATTTGCTGGACAATTCGCTGCATTACTGACCTTATAGATGTGGAGTTTTCAGCTACCTGGAGGAAACAACCTACTACTTTTATACTCTTATTGCGGAATGCGGCACGACTTTACCACCAGGCGGAACTTCATTACGGTTTATAGCAGTATGGGACTTGCCTCTCCCTGCCTGACTACTTTTATTTGTATTTGTGAAAGGGCATAAACCTGTGCAATTTATTTTCGGTTAGCTTGACCCGCGGAATCACTGCACCAATCATGCACTACCACCACGCTAGTGTTGCGGTCTTTGGTTGGAAATTATTGCCCACGTCCATTGAATGGCTGGAATTCAAACCAAGCCCACAAACCACGACAAACGCAGCAAAATTTGTGGTATTCGCTTCTTCTGAATGCCACGCGTGAGACAATCATCAATTTATGACCCTGTGTATCTTTTGTGAACCGGCGCAAGTGCACAACGCAACTGCCCATGTGATCAAATCCGACTCTTCCCAGATTTTCTCTCGGCTTCTGCTAGCTCAAATTAGGTTGACATGAACATCATGTAGTCTGCTATGTCAAGAAGCGCTACAGTTATACACAAGCTCAACTGATCCGCTCACAATGAAGGACGGTAAATGGAAATTTATATGTGGGCAATTCAGAACATGACTTGCATTGTCTGGTATATCCAGAAAAGTCAAATGACGCTAATGACCGTTGCTGCTCGGCTTTTAAGTCGGCGGTGATCCCTTCAACGAGTGTATATTGTTTCAGCTCGATAGGTAACGCTGCTGTTCTGTTCACTTAGCTTGACAAATCCGGAGCTAGCAATATTACCCATAATTGTCAAGAAACTGCTTTTTACGTCTTGGAAAATTTCAAATGTGTTGGACGGTGTTTACTGCAGCTGTAGGAGCCAGAAACTAGACCGCCGTGATAGAGAATGAGGATTTCCTGGCGACAGTTCAATATGGCGAGGCAGACCGGTTCATGCTCATACTATTCTAACTTCTTTCGAAATCGGAAGCAAGAGTTGCTATTGATTTACAGGCGATCATCTAAAAACAACTATGTGGCTGATCGGAGTCACGTGATCAACCATTAGTTGAGCTGCCAAATTCGTCAAAAGCAGTGATGTCACGATTGGGAAGTATGGCGTCTTGCTTGAAGGCTTGTTTCAATCAAAGCCATTCATTCTGTCACCCGAAAACGCTGTTTGGGTCTTTGTCGCAACCAAATCGGAGACACAACGAAGGTGAAATCAACCATGGTTATCTTTTGGGCCCAACATTCTCAAAGGCATGCCCTCCTGTTTTTTAGCCAAGTCTACATCCACTGTTTGGAACAGCATAATGTTCGGTAACGCACGTTACATTTCAGCCTGTGGTTTCTCTAATTTGCCAGACGTTCTTTACTCTGTGAATATGTATTGCATATTCCGGCCATTCCTACGGAACATTTTTATTCTCTGTTTGCAATCACACGTGACCAAAGCCGATGCTGATTCGCCTCAACATTTAAAGTGATGACCAACTACAGCACGAGATAGCCAGAGATGTGATCAGCTGGCTACTTGGTTTGTAATTCGACCGCAACTCCGGGCTTCATTGACAAAGTTCAGGATGTAGCAAGGTGACATTACCTAGGGTCTGAAGCCTAATTCAAGATTGCAAGATTGAGGCTTTGAAGAGCTGGGCGACCTGCGCTTCACCAGAGATGCGATCAACTGGCTACTTGGTTTGTAATTTGAACGCAACTTCGGGCTTCATTGACAAAGTTCAGGATTAGCAAGGTGACACTACCTCGGGTCTGAAGCCTAATTCAAGATCTCAAGATAGCGGCTTTGAAGAGCTGGGCGACCTGCGCTTCGTGTACGGAATACATGGCTTTGGATCTCGTGATCAGGGTTTTTCCCCATCAAGTTAATCGAATAGCTGAGTTACTGACGAATAAACCACCAAAAGCTTCTTTCGCGCGTTATTTGCTGCATTTGGGGAAGACCACAGCACAGGATATCACTTCGAATAATGTCCCTTCTACGTATACACTTAACAGTGATTGAATATTGCCGTCAAAATGAGGTATTCCAGAGTCTGTTCAACGTTGAATTCCACCTTTGAGTTTGGTCTGGTGTTTTCAACACTAAAATTTTCTTGTTCGATTTTGTTCAAATTGAGCTCCAGATATGAAGTGAATATTAAACCGCTACTGTTCAATGTATACCTTATATATCCGGAAATGGGAGACAGCTGTTACTGCAATAGTTCCCACGTGAATTTTTGGAATGCTTCACCAACTGTACTCTTTGGACCTTAACAGAATGCTATGTTCTGACCATCACTGATATAGAGAAGATGATTCATCACCATCATCTCCCACAGTAATAGAACGAAAGAGTTTATAAACTTGAGAGAAGACGTCCAGGTACCCAAACCACCACAGAAAATATAAATCCAGATGGGATGAGGCCCACAGACCCATCGTTTGCTCACTAGCCCAGGAGTACGCTCGTACGCTCGCGGTGTCCCAGCCCGTAGCGACTTGTTTATGTCCCTGTATTTTTGTTCGCAATGGACTTCGCTTCGAGAAGTTCTGTCATCCGGAAACCGAATCTGCTCGCAGTTTTGTTAGTTTTTAACCTCCCGGAATAAACTGCATCAGTTCTTGCAGTCCAGGATGTGATTAACTAACACCTTTATAGGTTAGTCTTTTTGATCCAAAGCAACAATAACTTTGCCGAACTGATAACAGTTATGGTCTTTTCACGGTCAATTACCGGATGGCTGGGGCCTAAATAAGGTTACCCAAGCAAACGGGGGCGACAGCATTTCGTAAACGGTCGTTCTACTCAGTCGGTCGCTTCCGACATAATTTTGCAGCTTCTGTTCTTTTCTTTACATCTGCATGAGTTAGCTCACGCCCTTTTTCCATGCTTCTACTCAGCTTCCATCTCGGGCCATTTACTAAGGACTACAGTTAATGGCATGACTTCGAGAGAACGAGTGACCCAAGAGATACTCATCGTTTCTAGAACACCAAAGCATGGTAGTTGGGAAAAGTATGCAAAGACAGCTGTTCTGGTATACTCGTGGTCTTGCCTGGTAAGTTTTAACACTATGCTCACATTTAGAATCCATTGTTATTGAAGGAAACTGGTAATCCTGAAAGACGACTTGTGTTTTGGGTTTGAACTTGTTTGGTAAACTCGTGAAAGGAAAGTTGAAGGTTGAAAATCTCATCAACTCATCACTAACTACAAACATCTATTCGGTTGTTAAAAGATAGAAGGATCACTGCGCTGTCGCCTACTCACTGTACTCATCATTCAGACAGTAAACCACATTATCCCGGTGAAGGTACCAAACTTCCACCCAATTCCCAATCAGCATTCTCCCGGTGCCGATCAGATAACACCATTTATCCTCAAGCAGTGTGCTCATTCCCTATGCACACCTCTCGCTGAGTTATTTAATTTGTCCCTAAATAACTGTGTGGTTCCCACCGACTGGAAGAGGGGTGTTATCACTCCCATATATAAAGGAGGTAATCGTTCGGTCGTGTCAAATTACCGGCCGGTGACTCTGTTGCC